CGATTGTCCTAAAGGACCATGCCTTGGTCAGGATGATCATCATGGACACCCACCGACGAATGTTGCACGCTGGATCTCAATTAACATTAGCTCGGATCCGAGAGAAATTTTGGATTCTGCGAGCACGATCTCTGGTTCGCGCTGTACTCTACAAATGTGTATCATGTACACGAGAAAGGGCTCAGATTCCTAACGAGCTCATGGGCGATCTTCCGAATGTAAGAGTAAATCGCTCAGCTCGAGCATTCGAACATGCCGGTGTCGATTATGCCGGTCCAATTCTTGTACGAACCTCTCGTGGACGAGGTCATAAAGCGCATAAAGCCTATATTGCCGTGTTCGTTTGTATGACGACAAAGGCGATCCATCTCGAGCTCGTTAGCGACTACTCTTCAGACGCTTTTCTCGCCACATTAAATCGTTTCGTTTCTCGTCGCGGATACCCTGCATCGATTTATTCGGATAATGGAACCACATTCCAAGGTGCCGATCGCGAACTTAAACTCGCAATCGCGCAGGCTTTAAAAAATTCGGATTTGCAAAATACGCTTTCGACCGACGGAATAAACTGGCATTTCGTGCCTCCTTCCGCTCCCCACTTCGGTGGATTATGGGAAGCTGCTGTACGCAGCGTCAAATACCATTTAAAGCGCTGTATCGGCTCACATACGCTCACATTTGAAGAATTAAATACTGTTCTTTGTCGTATCGAAGCGTGTCTTAACTCGAGACCTATTGGGTCTGTGTCCGAAAATCTCGATGATTATCATGTATTAACACCGGGACACTTCCTCATCGGGGGACCCATCTTAGCTGCGCCACAGCCAAGCGTTCTCGATCTTAACGAAACTCGTCTTTCCCGCTGGCAATTGTTGCAACATATTACAGAAAAATTTTGGAAATCATGGTCAAACGACTACTTATTAACGTTGCAGCAGCGGCCAAAATGGAAAATTGCGCAACGACTTGCGACTGTAGGCCGAATCGTTCTCTTGCGGAACGCACTTGCTCCTCCGTCTCACTGGGAGCTCGGACGTATCATCGAATGTCATCCCGGCAACGACGGACTCGTTCGCGTCGTTACCGTGCGCACCGCGCGTTCACAGTATAAGCGTCCAATTGTAAAATTATGTTTTCTTCCGATCGATATCAATACTTCAAGCGATCAAAGTTCCGGCATGGCGGGCGGCACCGATTCCGATTAGACTTAAGTAATAATGTTCAAAAATTATTGTACTGCACCATTTGTTGTAAAAAAAAAAAAAACTTTCCATATTCGTATTGTAAGCGTTCTAGTCATAAATTGTAAGCGTTATAGTCTTTACTTCGAATAAAATCATTCGAGACGGGCGGTATGTTCCGGAACCGTTGAAAATAATTGAGAGTCTCCGCGAAAAGTTTAAATGTCGCGCGATCAAATATATTGAGAACCATAAATCGTCGCATTAGCGAATCACGAATTTCCACGCGACCGAGGCATAGCGCGTAGCCGATCCTTCTCACACCTCTTTGCAATTCGCATTCGCGGTCCTTTTTCGCCAACTCAAGTGCGCGGTGTATCGATTAGGATCTGTCGCGCACCCCCGATCATGCCTATCTGAGTCGCTAATATCCTTCCTCGTTTCCCGTTCCTTCTTCTTGTTCCGGCTCTCAGTGTATTAACACATTGCCTCGTTATTGGAGATTCGTATCACGCGTGGTTCACATAATCCTTCGAGTCACGAAAGTGATTCTTTTCCGCCGGTCATCGGCAAAAATTTGTAGAATATTGGGCAAGCGATATTTTCCATTATTTCAGTTTTATTTGTGAAATACATGCATAGCTCGGCTGCAATTACGACCGCATGTATCACCACGTGCTCCGATATTACAGTGTTCCGGAGACTCTCAGAGACCTCGATTTCGCGAACGGTGCATCGCGCATCCGCGTTCGGCTCTTGATCGCTGCGATCTTTGTAAAAATTATCGCGAGAAGATTTCCGTCGAGTACGCGCGCAGCAATTACGATCAAGCACAAGATGTCCGTCCGTTCTCGTTAAAATTTTTGTCCACCGTTCGCCAAGTGTGTTTAATTCGAACTCGAAACTTTAGTTTTTTTTGTGAAAGATCGACAACTTTAGTTTTTTTGTGAAAGATCGAATAAACCTTTTTTTAACCATATTCTCAGCTGTTAACAATCAACCCCTTCTTCCCTCTATTCCCGATCAAAATTAATTTAATCAGTGCATTCCGCAACAATTATTAATTAAATAAATGATTTATAATAAATTTATAATAGTTATTAAATATATTCTAATTAATAAAATATTTATATATTTTATATAAATATTAACCTTATATTATTATAACATTTTATTATAACATATTATACATTTATTATTTTATACCATACCTAGATATACCTAAATATACCATATTATCTAATTACTAAAATAATTTCTTTTTTAATTACAGTTTACAGAGGAAGACGCGCCGGAGTTCGCGTCCAGGAGGAGCGCTTTATGCGCTTCCTCCTTAAACTGTCCTCGCCCCATTATTATTGGGGCAACAGGCCGAGGAGGGGCGGACGAGGACGGGGACGGCGAAACGCCGAATAGTATATAATAATATATAATATGATACATTATATACATAAATAAATATACATATATATACATTCTTCATTTTATTTAAATAAAAACCCTATAGATAAAACTTTATAACCCTAACATATTATGAATTGTTAAATAAATCGCAAAACATTATTCATACTATAATTATTTGGTGAATAACATTATTGATAATAATAAGAGAAATAATAGAAAATGGTATTGTGATTGTGATTGAAACAAACATTCTTTCTAAACAGAGTTCGATTATAGTATAAGTTTCTTGATTTAAAATGTGCTATATTTAAATCATTTAATTATTTTTTTCGTTCAAGTACATTTAACAGCAAAAACTGCATATACGTAGGTATGTATTTAACTCTACTGCCATTACTTGAAACAAATACATTATTCGATATTACCAAATTGGAACTCTGGAATTACGAGTAATTATTTTTCATTGTACAGACTAGGTTTAAATTTTTGAAGACCTTCTTTTGAACATGGCTTGACCTTTTCATTTTTATGATTTTTTGGAGATAGGGTGAGAGAGGACGAATGAGGGTAAGAGAAGACGAGATAGGCGAAAGAGGGTGAAAGAGGACGAAATTGGGTGAAAGAGGGCGAAAGAGGACGAAAGAGGACGAAAGAGGGTGAAAGAGGACGAAAGAGGGTGAAAGAGGATGAGAGAGAATGAAAGAGAGTGAAAGAGGACGAAAGAGGGTGAGAGAGGGCGAAAGAGGGTGAAAGAGGACGAAAGAGGGTGAAAGAGGACGAAAGAGAGTGAAAGAGGACGAAAGGGGGTGAGAGGGAATGAAAGAGGGTGAAAGAGGGTGAGAGGGAATGAAAGAGGGTGAGAGAGGACGAAAGAGGGTGAAAGAGGCGAAAGATGGTGAAAGAGAACGAAAGAGGGTGAAAGAGGGCGAAAGAGGACGAAAGAGGATGAAAGAGGGCGAAAGAGGGTGAAAGAGGACGAAAGAGGGTGAAAGAGGACGAAAGAGGGTGAAAGAGGGTAAGAGAGGACGAAAGAGAGTGAGAGAGGATGAAAGAGGGTGAAAGAGGCGAAAAAGGGGTGGGAGTGGGTGCGGGGGTGGGGGCGGGGGCGGGATGTGGGAGGGAAAGGGGTGGGTGGAAGTTGAGGGAGGTGTGAGTAAAAGGTGAGAAGAGATTTATATATATATATATATATAATCCTGATGACGTCAGCGGACGCGGACAGAGAAGAAGAAGAAGAAGAAGAAGAAGAAAAGAAGAAGAAGAAGAAGAAGAAGAAGAAGACGACGTTACTTCATTTTTCATGAAAAACGTCACTTTTTGACCGCTTGTATCTCCAGAACGGCTTGACCGATTTTATTTTTTCTTGACTCAAATTACTCGTGGCGATGCCGCTTTTTAGGTTATATTACGTGCAATTCAAAATTTTTTATATTTTAGTAGTTCTACACCCCCAAAAAATGGACTTTGATGGTGCAGGATAAGGAGACTTGTAGTGTCTTTTAAGGTCTCTTAGGGTTTGAACATGGCCGGAGACACTACCGCGTCTCCTAATATAATAATAATAAAATATAATGATAAAAATAATATAAAATCAAAAATATATATATATATATATGTATATATATATATATCTACACTGGCAGATCCATAATGGAGACCATGGGGGCCCTTCCACTTAGAGTTTCCTTTTTTAAAAGTATTTATAAAGAAATGTTATATTTAATATTTGCGAAATGCTTAATCACAATTTTTATTCCAATCATATTTTTTAATTTAAGACACGTGTACACGCTACTCGTGTCCAATTAGATTTAATGTCATCGCCTCTATAAATTATCGCACGAGCAATACCGACTGCTGCGCGCAAGGCGCTGCGATCGCCTATACCACGCCTCTCTCTCGTGCGTTTTCCGGTTCTTGCTTCTTTTTTTTTCCTGTACGTTTTCCGGCTGTCGTCCACGCGGCGACACGCAGTTTTCTTATTATACAGTCCGCTTACTACAATAAACATTTGGTTACACAACGAGTATCAACAATTCCTTCATTGAGTCACCATGATCAAGGAATACCTTATATTTACACGAATATAAGGTAACGAGGCGTCAGCACAAGCGACGAAGAATACGCGTCCACATACGCGCGAGGCAACAAGCCCAAGTTGAAGGCACACACACATCCTTTGGCTCGCACATTGGTCCTTCGAGCCGGATGTAAGCGTATTCACAATTATACGTATTAATTGATTACGTTCAATAAGTAATCTTAATGAGGTAAGACTTTACGGTTCTCTTTTAATCGAGGTAAGCAACTCATTTTATTTAACCCTTTTATCGTTGGCACGCCATATTGTCTTGTTCGCGACGCATTTTTACACTCGCTCAAGCTATTCGTTCCCAGCATAACAAGTCAACAAATATGTCTAATCTCACGCTATCAGAAGCAAAAAATAAAAGAGCTCACATAAGAGCATCGGCGACACGGCTAAAAACTTTCATAGAAGGTTATGATCCTAATCAAGGATCACGACACGACATTACCGAACGTAAGGTTAAGCTATCAGATTTGTGGGATCAATTTGAAGCCGTTCAATCGCACATAGAAACAATTGAAAATGAAGATCCCGCGAATACAGACAAAGATGCCCTACTGGCACGACAAATCCAACAAAGGGATAGCTTTGAAAATCCTTATTTTCATTTGGTATCGCGTTACGACACTGTATTAGAACATTTCGATCGGCGTGAGGCTACAGCTTCAATATCTAACGAGCTTAATAATGTAGGGAACATCGCAAGACAATCTCGCGTCAAATTACCTAAAATAGAACTTCCAGTTTTTTCAGGCTCTTACGAAGACTGGTACTCGTATCAAGACACATTTGAAAAGCTTATTCACACAAATGACATTCTCGATGATATAGAAAAGTTCCACTATTTACGCTCATCTTTAAGGAGCACCGCAGCGGAAGTGATAAGCTCTATAGAAATTACAACAGACAATTATCAAGAGGCGTGGGCGACAATAAAGGATCGTTTCGACAACAAAAGATGGATCATAAATAAACACATCAAGGGGATGTTCGAAGCACCATCGCTTATCAAGGAAAATCACGTCGCATTGCGCGAATTATTGGATACCATTCTGAAGCATCTGAGGTCTCTTAAGGCTCTGAAAAGGCCCACGGACACATGGGACGACTTGATTATACACGTAATTACATCAAAACTTGATCCCGCAACCAATAAGGCATGGGAAACAAGCATTGTCCAAGGAGACATGCCAAAATTGAAGTCTCTCACAGACTTCCTTTCAAAACGTTGTCAAGTGCTAGAATCGTTTTCTAGTAAGTTGCATAATAATCAACAAAACAATACTTCTCAAAGGCATAGCAGTAAGCACAAAAATCAATCAGTATTAAATGTTACGACTAACGTATCTTGCCCTCAATGCAAGGAGAATCATTTGATATACCATTGTGAAGCATTCCTTAAACTTCCGATAGACAAACGAATACAGATAGTTAAAAGAGCTCATATTTGTACGAATTGTTTGAGATCAACAGATCATCAAGCCAGTGCATGTAAATCAGGATCTTGTCGCAAATGCAATAAAAGGCATAACACTTTATTACACTTATCAACTTCCAACAACAATGACAAGGGTCTGAAGTTTAAGGAATCGCTCGCAGAGTCAAATGAAGCACCACAAGCTATCGTTACACAATGTTTATCAACTCATCATTCTGTGAATATTTTATTGTCTACTGCTATTGTATATGTATATGATTCTAAGGAACAGCCAATTTCATGTCGCGTGCTACTCGACAGTGGTTCACAAATGAACTTCATTACTGAAGAATTAGCCAATCAACTACATCTTAAGGAACAAACAGTAGAAACCTCTATTATAGGAGTCATGCAAAAAGGCTTTCATGCTAAAAGATCGATTAGCTTGCGTATTAAATCTCGTCTAAACAATTTTAGTGAGGTCATAGATTGTATTGTACTACCAAAAATTACTCAGCCATTACCTCAAAATTTCATAACTAAATCAAAGCTAATGATTCCCAAGCACATTAAATTGGCTGATCCAAACTTTAACATTCCGTCTAATATCGATATGTTAATTGGCGCCGAATTATTTTGGAGGCTCATTTGTGCTGGCCAGATCAAGCATTCAAAAAATCAGCCAACCTTACAAAAGACTCATTTTGGTTGGATAATTTCTGGTCATATTATAGGTAATAATGTAAACTCTATCACAACTAGTTGTCATTTAGCAGTAACGGATGACTTAAATCGGACGCTTAATCGATTCTGGGAAGTAGAGCATAACATATCATCACCTAGTCCTTCGCTGGAGGAAAGCAAATGTCAATCTATTTTTCAAAACAGCACCAGACGAAATGATGAAGGACGATTCATAGTTCAGCTCCCAATAAAGGCGGATAAATTGATTGCCATTGGAGATTCAAGGGATATCGCTCTGAAACGCTTCAAATCTTTAGAAAAACGTCTCTTGAAGCAGCCGCAAATGTACGCTGAATATAAAAAATTCATTCGTGAATACAAGGAGCTGGGTCACATGTATGAGGTGCCCAGTGATGTGGAGTTCAATATTTCCAACACAAACATTCCAGCTTACTATCTACCGCATCATGCGATATACAAGGAAACAAGTAGTACTACCAAACTGAGAGTGGTTTTCGATGGATCGTGCAAAACATCAAATGGTACTTCTCTTAACGACGTGCTAATGGTTGGCCCGACACTGCAGGACGATCTTTTCTCCATTTTGTCAAGATTTCGAACCTTCACGTACGCTCTAACCGCCGACATTACTAAAATGTACAGGCAGGTACTAGTAGACCCTACACAAACATGTCTTCAGCGCATCCTCTGGCGCGATTCGCCAAATGAATCAATTAAAACATACGAACTTCTTACACTTACATATGGGACTTCCTCAGCATCATTCTTGGCTATTGCAGCCTTGCGAAAACAAGCCGAAGAAAATTCAACCAAGTTTCCAATTGCGTCCAAAGTAGTATTAAACGACTTTTATGTGGATGACCTAGTCACTGGTGCAAACACCATTCAAGAGATATACACTATTAAGAAGGAAACTATTCAATTATTGCAAGGAGCCAAATTTGAATTAGCAAAATGGGCATCGAATGTTCCCTCTCTGCAAGGCCAGCCATATAATTCAAATCAGAAGGAATTTATGTCGTCAGCTGACAAACAATGTGAAACACGCACATTAGGCATTATATGGAATTGTAACATGGATCAATTTCAATTTCCCAGCGTCACGCCTTTCGAACCACTTAAAACAATCACAAAACGAAGTATATTGTCAAGGATCTCATTAATATTTGATCCACTCGGTCTACTCGGTCCTGTCACACTAACAGCCAAAATTATAATGCAAGATCTTTGGCGTCTTGGACTGGATTGGGACGAATCAATCCCTTTAGAATTACACACTAAATGGAAACGTTATGAAGCAGAATTGCCTACACTAAGGCAAATCAACGTACCTCGCAGGGTTATTCCGTTTAAGCAACACACACGACTGGAAATTCACGGATTTTCCGACGCCAGTGAATCTGGATATGGAGCATGCATTTATTTACGTGCCACATCACCCGATGGAAGTCATTCAGTTCGTCTACTTTGCTCCAAGAATCGAGTAGCTCCTTTGAAGACTCTCTCGATTCCGCGCCTCGAATTATGCGGCGCACTATTGCTAGCACAGCTCGTCAACAAAATTTCAAATTGTCTATCATGCAAAATAGATTCTATTTACTTATGGACTGACTCGACCATCGTCCTAGCCTGGTTGCAATCATGCAACCGTACCTGGACACCCTTCGTAGCCAATCGCGTTGGAGAGATACAACAATTGACCGCAATACAAAACTGGAAACACATACGAAGTGAGGACAATCCCGCAGACCCATTGTCAAGAGGCATCATGCCAGCATCTTTATCTCATCTACAAATTTGGTGGACAGGTACTCCGTGGCTAACGCTTGATAAGAAAAAATGGCCTCAAGGTCTACTTGTCACCTCTAATCAAGACGCACCAGAAAGGAGGTCTAAATGCATCACCACGCTAGCAACTAATGATCAAGATTTTAACATCTTCAATCGATACTCAAGATTTACAAGATTGATTCGAATCGTTGCGTATATCTTTCGATTCTTCAAAAACGCAAGAAATATTGGAGGATCTATTAGAAGATCTCAAGAATCTATTACGCCTGCACGAATAATTCAACCTATAACCACTGACGAAATAAATCACGCCATTCAGATATTGGTAAAACTTGTACAGAAAGATTGTTTTTCAAAGGAGTTGCATTCATTATCTAATCAAGGCATCATATCTCCAAACAGTCCTGCATCAAGGTTAAGCCCATTCATCGATGAAACTGGAATCTTGAGAGTCGGGGGCCGTCTACAATCTTCATCGTTGCCGCGCTCAGCAAAGCATCCCATATTATTGCCTGGACGACATTCATTATCACACCTTATCATAATGCACGAACATGAAAAACACTTACATGCTGGACCTCAAGCTACACTCGCTGCCGTTCGACAGAACTATTGGCTCGTATCAGCGCGAGATATTGTTCGTCAGATCACTCGAAAATGTACCATTTGTTTTCGCAGTGCACCGAAACCAGCATCAACAATCATGGGTAATCTGCCCAAGCCACGAATTACAGTACCCTCAAGGGTCTTCGAAAATTGCGGAGTAGACTACGCCGGTCCATACTACTACAAGCAAGGATTGAGAAAAAATACCAAGTTAATAAAGTGCTATATGACAATATTTGTCTGTTTTGCAACGAAGGCCGTCCACATTGAGTTAGCCACGGATATGACTTCAGAAGCATTTTTAAATGTTTTCAAGCGATTTATCTCCAGGCGAGGATATCCAGCCAACATATACTCCGACAATGGCCTAAACTTTGTAGGTGCAGAACGTGAATTGAACGAGTTAGTTGTATTATTCAAGAATCAAAAATTCCAACATGAAATCGCTGGATACATGAGCGATAAAAATGTACAATGGCACTTTATCCCACCCAGAGCACCTCACCATGGAGGGCTTTGGGAAGCTGCAGTCAAAATGGCTAAAGTGCATATATCTCGAATAACCAAAGACGCTCACCTAAGATATGAGGAGCTACAAACGTTGCTTATTCAAGTCGAAGCAATCCTTAATTCTAGACCACTCACGCCTATGTCTTCTGATCCTGATGACCTTGCACCTTTAACAGCAGGACACTTTTTAATAGGGGGACCTCTAACGTCTTATCCCGAACCATCATTGGAGAATCTTGCAATCAATCGTTTATCACGCTGGCAGCATCTGGAGCAATTGAGGCAACATTTCTGGCGACGTTGGACGAAGGAATACCTTCATCATCTCCAGCAACGCAATAAATGGCAATCTATTGATTCATCAATATATAAAGGGCAAATGGTAATTCTAAAGGAGGACAACATGCCACCTTTATCTTGGCCCCTAGGAAGAATATCAGAGATCCATCCGGGACACGATGGAATCGTTCGCACGGCTACCATCAAGACAACTAAAGGTTCTTATAAGCGCCCTATCACACGTTTATGTTTACTTCCTTTCGATAATGAGCCTCAGTCATGACTGTCAAATTATTCTTATTTTTCCATTATTATTATTATTTTTTTTATATATACAACAAGTTATAATTATTTGTTTATATCCTAACATTTTAAAACTTACCATTATAATATGTTCATTTATAATTATCCTATTTAGATTATTCAAATTAGTTATAAGTATAACAAGTGTCTTAACTTGTATTATCTTCCTACGTTGAAAGGTCACCCTTTCAAGGGGGGCAGTATGTACACGCTACTCGTGTCCAATTAGATTTAATGTCATCGCCTCTATAAATTATCGCACGAGCAATACCGACTGCTGCGCGCAAGGCGCTGCGATCGCCTATACCACGCCTCTCTCTCGTGCGTTTTCCGGTTCTTGCTTCTTTTTTTTCCTGTACGTTTTCCGGCTGTCGTCCACGCGGCGACACGCAGTTTTCTTATTATACAGTCCGCTTACTACAATAAACATTTGGTTACACAACGAGTATCAACAATTCCTTCATTGAGTCACCATGATCAAGGAATACCTTATATTTACACGAATATAAGGTAACGAGGCGTCAGCACAAGCGACGAAGAATACGCGTCCACATACGCGCGAGGCAACAAGCCCAAGTTGAAGGCACACACACATCCTTTGGCTCGCACAACACGTTTAGATATAAAAAAAAAATTCATATTTGATCTGAAAAAAAATTTTATTTGCGGCGAATCAAAACCTCCTTAACAAATTTCTGGATCCGCCACTACATATTTATCTATAATATATACCCAGTAAACACTGTTATATTAATGTTATTTAATTTATTTCATTCTTTGAATCCTTTGTTAGGATTATAGGTCAGAAATTAAATTAACAAAGAAAATATATACTTTGAATCTTATATTAGTATTCATTCCTTATATGCATTTCATGGGGAAAATTTGAATACGAAATATTAAGTCTGGTTTCGCCGCGTAACGGCAAACAAAAAATAAAATAAATAACATTGTAACATCATATTTATGTAAAAATATATATTTATGTAAGAACCCAGTAAACACAAAGTAACAGTAACATAACATTAATGGTACAATTTCCTATTCAACAATATAACTGTTATGTACAAAGCATGTTACATTGCAGTTAGATTGTTGAGTAGGAAATTACATCATGAATGTTATATTACTGTTATTTTGTGTTTACTGAAAATAATTTATATAAGAAGCATATTTCATATATAAACTATTAACGTAACAACTATTACATTACTTATTACTCTAAATAACAACTGTTTAGTGGGTATATATATATAGTATATACATATATTTAGACGTTTTAAATGTATATAACTTACTTTTTAGACTTTTCTTATTCTGCTTATTTTTCTAATTCCAAATCCTAATCTATTTCTAAATTTCTTATTTTGAATCTCATTTTTCATTTGAAGAAACGAATGTTATTTACTATCACAAGTAAATGAAATTTCAATATAATAATAAAATATAATAATATATAATATTATATATATAATATAATATAATGTATTATAATCTCATTATAATTTTATAATAATTTTAAATAACATTATATATATTATATTTTGTTATAATTACAACATTATATGTAATATCCCAGCAAATACAAAATAACAATTGTATAATATTAAATTATAATTTTCCATTCAAGAATATAAGTATTATATAACACTTATATAGAAGAAGAATATAAGAATACAAGAATATAAGTGTTATATAACATGCTTATATAATATTGTTATATTATTATAAAATTATAACTTAATATTATATAATTATTACTTTGTGTTTGCTGGGATATTACATATATTGTTATGATAAAGTATATAATAATGTATATAATGTAATAATATACATATATAATATAATATAATAATATATAACAATATAATATAATAATAATAATATATATAATGTAAAAATATATTATTTTCTTACAGACTCAAGAAAAAAAAATTTCGATGTAATCAAATATTTACATCTCCATGATTATTATTTATTCATACATTACATATTCTTTAAGTTCGTAATTAGTTCTAAAAATTTTAGTTCTAAAAATTTTAAATATAATTCTTGAAATGTATAATTTAATATTTTTACGATTAAAGATTGATTATTAATTATTGATTATTAATTTTATTTATATTTATATTTTTATTAATTTTATTTGTTCATTTTATTTTATTTTAATAAAATTTAAACGTTTAAATTTTATTATACAATTATATAATTAAATAATAAATAACCATTATATAATGCAATAAATTATTAAGAAATAATTATTATAATTGGATTATATAATAAAATTTGGATGTCTAAATTTGATCAAATATTTCGTTCACTAAAAAACATATCTTTTGCCAAGAAATTATTGGAAATACCTTATGGAATATTCTCGTTATTTTGAGATCGTGTTCAAATCTCAATTCCCTCATATTTTTGAAACATATAAAAAACAGAAAAAGAATGTTATTGTAAAACATCAAATGGATATTGTTTTCCTAGCTTTCTTCAACAACTCAAGTAGAGACTTATTACTCTTTATATAATCCAATTCCTGTTATAAAAATATAACATTCATAGAATAAAACTCTCATAGATGTAGAAGTGAGAGCAAAAAATAGAATGTATTCATTATATTAATATCTTATCATGTATCACAGTCTGGAATTACAATAAAAGGACGTGAATAATTTTTAAATGTTGCATCTCTTGCTTCTTCAATAATTTGAAGATTTGATCAAGTAGAAATACATTAGTATCTACAACAATATATATAGTAGACTCTTCTTATGTAACTCTGCTCTATTATGATGTATTAATTCTAAAATATTTCCCGATATACAATTTGTCTCAATATGATTCAGGTTTCTCCCTAATTGTGTTCTAACAACTTCAACCTATATTAAATATATTAAATGAAAAATTATATTGTTTTCACTATTATTGTATAGATAAGATATATACATAAAACACACAATAGATTCCTAATTAATATAAATTTTAAAAAATGAGTAAAAAATATAAAATATTTGAGATTACTAAAACACACAGTTAAAATAAGATAATTTTCTATGATACATAAATACACAAATTAATTAATGTTTTAATTATATTGATAATACCTCTTGTGCAATGGCTTCATCATTCATTGGTTCCCAATCCATGTGTTGCGTGCGTGCGCGTCTCGTGTCGAGCGCGTCTGTCAACGCACCTTCTTTATAATTTAATTAATTTATAAATTAGTACAGTTATAATTTTTAATAAATTTATAAATTAATTTATACATTAATAAATTTATAAATTAATAATTTAATATGAGATATATAAATATGTATATCACGAAAATATAAAATCTATGGCACACAGCATATTTTTCTTGCTAGCTATAATGCGTTATAAAAAATGTAAATATATATGTATGTCTAGGAATTGCAAAATATATATGTATGTCTAACAATTAGAATTAATTAATTCTAGCATGAAAAATGCATAGGATGCCTAAAAAATAACTTTACAAAATTATACACAATACATTATAAGGTTTTTTTAATGAAAAAATACATTTTGATTTATGAAATTAAGTGAACAGCAAAGATACAATAATATAAAGTTTTTGTTCTAAATTAATATAAATTATAAAGTACTCTAAAAATATGTATATAAAAAATAGTACAACTTAGTGTTAAAGTTTGTTCGGATTGGCTTATAATACTAAAAGTAATTTCATATAAAATATTCATATAGATACATATGTTATATATATCCATATTATCTTACATTAACAATAGTAGGCAATATTGGGCATCTTAAATATATCCTTATATACATGATCATGTTCCTAGATATATCATTTATTTAAAAGACATGGATGTTAAAATGCTCTTCACTTTGACTCACAATCAAATAAATCATAGATGATTTATTTGTATTATATTTATTTATATTATATTTATATTATATTATATTTATATATTTATAACTTTATGCATTAAAAAAATTTTTACATTAAACTTATATGCATATAATACCTGAATATAATATAAATAAATATTTCCATCATTTCTTTCTTAGTACAGACATGTATAAGACTGATTCCATTCTTTTATATATTAATGTTCTATAAATATTCTTCCCAAAAAATTATTTTTCATAAAAAATACGAAAAATGCGAGAATGTTATTTACATGATAACAAATTATCATATTTATATCAATGCTATAAAATACTTCTTCAAAATTATCCTAACAATCGTTTCAATCAGGAAGAGTGATAGTTCGCAAAGAGTCTTCGGGAAAAGTTGCTATTTCCGCGACAGTGCTGAAATTAAAGGGAACTGCTATTCCACCATCAAGAACTAAACCTCCATCAAAACACTCTGATCTTATGGTGATCCTTTTACAAAAACCACGAGGATATATGCGCTTTGGAACGGACACTGCATCAGTCATTATCATATCTCTTATCGAATAACATAGTATGGAATCCTCTGTAAATATTTTTATACAATGAATCCTTTAGAATTTGTTATATAATCTCGTAAGTCGAACATTTTATAAAATAATAATAATAATAATAATAATAATAATAATTACCGCACAATTATCTTTTGTAACATCCTTTCTTCCTTCTTTCACTTTATTTTAAACTCTTTGTCTTCTTTATTTCCTCCTTTCTTTCTTTAAAACATTAACTAAAAATAAAATATAACACAAAGTATCAATTTTTTATAATATATAAAGTATTAATTAAATATCAAAAACACAAGTTCTATTAGAAACGTTATCTGAACTTATCTGATGAAGTAATCTTGAACACGTCCAAGGAGAAAAGAGAAACCTTTACCTTGATTTTTAACATAATCTTTCACTTAACCCGGCTGTTACTAATAACCTTCGATTTACATAACTGTCAAAACGCGCGATCTTCGCTGCGACGACAGTTGCTCACGAAGTAAGCCCAACGAAAGAACCAATCAGCATCGCGGAAAAGCGACAACAA